ATACAACTCAGTTAGGATCATGCTGTTTGAGATGCCCTGGAGATATCCAAGTAGAAATGTCCAGAAGGTAGTTGACTGATCTGAGCTAGATATATAAATGTGGAGCTCATTAGCATATACACTATAACTGAAACCATGGGAAACAGTAAGACTACCCAGGGAAAATGTAGAATCCAACCCACAAGGTTAGGGTAAGAGTCTGTACTAAGGCAAAAACATCTTGATACCTTACTATTACTATAGTTTATACCTCATAGTCTATAAACGGCATCACATTCAGGAAATGTGGGTATCCTGGAATGTATAGGAAAAGCAACTCCCACTCCCAAATGTAAAGGTGGATCAGAAGTCTAACAACACAGTCTGACAATATTCTAATATGTCAGTTCTAACACCATAATACTTACCAGTTGACAAGGCCTCCTCCCGAACCTCACCCTCAGCAGGCTGGTGAATATTCCAGGACGTTTTGGGAAGCAAAGAAATTTCCTCAGGTGATGCTAATTTCACCATTTCCATGTGGTTGCTCTGGAACTGGTACTGTGGGATGAAGCAGGTTTTGCCTTGTTGGAAAATGTCCTTGATGATCTCCTCTGTCTCAATTTCATCTTGCATGCTCAGAAAGATGGAAACTCTTTTGGATTTTTGATACTGACTGTGGGAAATCACCTAAACGGAAAATGATGGCAATCATATTTTCCAAGATTACAATTTTAAAAACTAGTGACTCCCCTTAACAGTTCTTCCCTTCTTCTTCAGCCTTCTCCAACTTTTTATCCTCCCATCCTAAAAAAGCAGAGTGGTATAGTGGGTCAGACAATGCTGACTCCCTGTAGCTCTGAATCCAACACCTACTTCTCTGATCCATTTATACCTCTCTGCATACCCACTCTATCCAGAAGGTGTAAAATATCCATTAGAAAGTCACTATGGAGTCCTGTTGTCCATCTCAGGAATTACAAGTTTGATCCCTATCTATCCATTTAAGTAGTCTTCAGTCATCCCATGCAGTTCTCCTAGTTTCTCTGTTTTATTCTAATTCTGAACCCTGAACCTCCTGCCATCTTCTTTATTCCTTTGTCAGGCTTCTCTCCTCCTAAATTCAACCTATTTAAAACCCAACTCAAGCCCTAGCTTTTCCTGACTTCTGCAGAATTCTTACTCCACTTACAGTTAATATACCACTTAAAACTTATTGTTTCATGTGCCTTAAAATGTAGTATTCCTAACCAGACTGTAAGCTTCTTGAAGGTTAAGAACATGCCTTATAATTCTTTTCGTTCTACCTACCGTCATCTTGTTTTCTAAACCTCTTTCATTCAAATGATCTTAATATGTTCACAAAGACAGACAGTGGGAGGTACTGGAGAGGCAAGACTCTCCAAAAGTAGGTGGCAGGTTATGAGAAGGTGGACCTGAGTAAAAGCATCCCTTCATATTCAATTTAATCATGCATCAGGCAAACAGGAACTCAGCTTTCCCTGCCTAGAATAGTACCAACCTTAGGAGCTTCCCCAGACTTTTGCTTCCCCCTTCCTTTACTGTTCTTTCCTGTTCTCAGAGCTAAGAAGAAAAAGATACTGCAAAAGCAGCTGCGAAATATGACTGGCAGAAAGATACAGGTACAGAAAGTCAAGTTATTCCTAACAAAAAGGGACATAGAAATTAAATAGACAGAGCACACCTTTTTGGTAAGTTATAAAGTTTTTTGAACCCTGAAATAGGTAAAGCAAATGAAAATGAAACCCAGACCTTGGGCAGACCTGAGGCTTTTGACACCCAAAGAAGAGAAACTTAAATGTCTTGTTTTCTTGAAAGCTGAATAAAGAAAAATAAGAGCTGACTAAGGAGTTACAAACATCAGTTAAAATTCAGGGTGAGACTGAATTAAATCCTTCCTTAAATCTCATTTATATGATAGTAAAGAAGCACAAAAGAGAAAATCCATTACAGCACTGAGAACAAGAGAATAGAGATTTGACTAATTTCTGTTAGACACAGAG